CAGCTTACTGTGCTCATGTCGAGGAAGAAGCAGACAGAAAACCTTGGTTTCACGACATCAAGGAATTTTTGGCCGAAGGAAAATATCCAGAGCTTGCAAATGCTATTCAGAAGCGCACTCTGCGAAGATTGTCCAACAATTTCTTCCACAGTAGAGGAATCCTGTATAGGAGAACTCCAGATTTGGGTTTGCTAAGGTGTGTTGACGCAAAGGAAGCATCCAAACTGCTAGAGGAAATTCATGGTGGGACTTATGGTCCACATATGAATGGTTTTGTCTTAGCCAAGAAGATACTCCGGGCAGGTTATTTCTGGATGACTATGGAAACGGACTGCATCCAGTATGTTCGAAAGTGCCACCGCTGTCGAATCTATGCAGAGATGATAAAAGTGCCTCCAAATGAGCTTAATGCAACAAGCTCGCCATGGACGTTCGCCGCATGGGGAATGGATATTATCGGACCAATCGAACCTGCCGCATCAAATGGGCACGGGTTTATCCTAGTAGCAATTGATTATTTCACTAAATGGGTTGAAGTAGCATCTTACAGAGCAGTGACCAAGAAAGTCGTGGCAGACTTTGTCCGTGACCATATCATTTGTCGATTCGGGATCCCAGAATTAGTCATTACTGACAACGGTTCCAACCTCAACAGTGATTTGATGAAAGCTATGTGCGAAACCTTCAAGATCAAACACAAGAATTCCACAGCCTATAGACCTCAGATGAACGGAGCTGTAGAAGCCGTCAATAAGAACATCAAGAAGATATTGAGAAAGATGGTAGAAAAGCATAAGTAGTGGCATGAGAAGCTGTCATTTGCTTTGTTAGGGTATTGCACCACAGTCCGCACATCGACTGGTGCAACTCCCTATATGCTGGTTTATGGTACGGAAGCGGTCATCCCCGCCGAGGTAGAAATTACATCCCTAAGAATCATACAGGAAGCACAAATCGACGATGCAGAATGGGTAAAGAGTCGTTACGAATAGTTAGCTCTCATAGATGGAAAGAGAATGAACGCGGTTTTCCATGGTCAACTTTACCAGAACAGAATGACCAGAGCCTTGAACAAGAGAGTCAGACCAAGACGGTTTACACCAGGGCAGCTGGTGTTGAAGAAGATTTTTCCACATCAAGATGAAGCCAAAGGGAAGTTCTCCCCTAACTGGCAAGGTCCATACATGGTTCATCGGGTTCTGACAGGAGGAGCCCTCATACTTGCAGAAATGGACAGAGAAGTTTGGCCAAAACCAATAAATTCAGATGCAGTCAAGCGATACTATGTGTAACCATTTATGATTTCCTTATGTAATTTGAACTACGTTTGACCTGATTCCCGTTTAAGAGGGGATACGTAGGCAGCCTTATGCACTACATAAAATTCGATATATTGTGGCGGTTTATTTATGGGGGTCATTAAAAACTCCCACTACACGCTTGTTTTGTGGGGTTTGAGCCACCCCCCACAAAATAGTTCTTATTGTGGCGGTTGTAAAAGACCCCCTCTATATATTCAATTCGTGGCGTTTGTTCCCACCTCCTCAAAATTTTTCTTATTATGGCGGTTTTTTTGTGAAGGTTTTTGATAACCTCCACAAATATATCAATTCCAGGTGTTTGAGAAATTGTTACAACTCGATACAAGTTAACAGTTATTAACTCATTAAAATTTTTAGTTATTTTTTCCACCTTATTTCATTAAAATTAAATCAAATTACATATTTTAGTTAAAACTTTGCGAACTAATGCAATTTGCGTCAATATCTATACCTTCTAGTTTGTAATCTTTTTTTCCTCACTTTCTTTAACTACAAAAAGAAAGGTTTTCTATTATTTCTCTATGTCTTACTCGGTAGTTTTTCTTTGATTGTCTTTGTGCATTTCTTTAATTCATCTCTCTATCTTTAGCAAAAAATAATAATGACTTCTATTTCATTTCTTCCTCGTACGTTTCTTATTTATAGATTTGTACGGAATGTTTACCCATAAATGCTAAACATAATTTCTAACCAGTGGAAAAAATGTAATTTAACTGATGTTGGACCACAATATTGGGTAACAAAAGAATAATGCAAAACGAGTCATCACAAAAGTTAAAGTGTGGCTCAACAAAAGCAAGTAATGATCGTTGATTCAATTTGGTCACACAATCACAAGCGATACTTGTCTCCAAAGAAGAAGACAACAATATAGAGAATTGAATGCATCAGCTACTCAGTGAGTCTCACTAAACAAATAGGGAACAAATAGGGCCGACGAGGTCTAATATAAACGAAAAAATATGCTTTAGTTTAATCATAAATAATATCTGCATTCATAGGTAACGACTACACACTCAATGAACAACAGTTGCAGGAGAGACATCCAAGTATTGTAATTATCTTCACAAACATTTGATTTATTTATTTATTTTGTTTTAGATAATTTAAATTTTAAAGGGATAAATAATTGCAATACTTAGCATGAAGATTTTCTTTATTTTTATCATAGTAGGTGGTCTATGTTCAAGTAGTATTTTTAAAGGCGGGTGTATGAGGCAAGCCATTTTACTACGGGGCGAGGCGTGATCTATCTTTAAATTGTTTAATTTATAAATGACACATAATAAACCAAAAACAAGTATATTAGAGTTTAAGAAATTAAAAAAAATTAAGCTCATAAAAAATAAAATATCTTGTATGTTTTTACAAGTATAAATAATGCAATAGTGTTAAAGTTACTATGTGATACAACTATAACGTCTTAACTATCAAACAATTAAAAAATTATAATTTCTTTAAAAATGTATAAAGTTATACATTTTATTTCCCTAAAAGTAATTAATCAAGAAAGTCCATAAATACTATAATTTAAAAGATTACTCCTTCATGTACATACAAAATTACTTTCAAAGAGCAAAACAATAAAGCCTGATAATTTAGGACATGAATACCAATGGCAATAAGATACAATTTTTACTATCTAATTCAGAAAAAATAGTCTAATGATACTAACACTCACGATATTCTCCATTAGTAACTATGTAATTATGTGGCTCGTTATTTGAGTTATTATCAAATAAAAGTTTAATCATAACTTTTTAAAGTATTAAGCATCAATTGTGTTAATTAGAGAATTTGACACTTGATTTAAGTAGGAACTACAGTCAAACCTCTCTATAAAAACCTCATTTATTCCATTATTTTTTGGCTGCTATAGTGAGGTACTGTTACAAAAACATAGTATATTATTACATAACATAAAAATCAATTCCGTAAAATTTTAGCTTTTATAGTAACTGGTTGTTATATAGAGATGTTGTTGTAGAGAAGTCTGACTGTATTAGGCAAGCCCTGACAATTAAGTGTTATGCGTGTTTGGGTGGACGCTTTGGGGCGTAAGCTCACATAACTAAGCTCCACACATATTCTTCAGGACCTTTTGAATAGTGCCCCATCCAGGGACGGCTAACCCCAAACGTGCCCCAAAAGAGCCTTTTAAACGCTATGTATATTGAATAAATAATTTAATAACTAGAACTTTGTTACTTTCATCTAATTTAATGGTTTTCAATTTTTATATATTCTAGTTTGTCGTTGTTATGGATTTTTTGTTTTGTCCTTACTTTCTTATTAATTCTTGTGTAGTAGATAAATGAAGTATTTAAATAAATTTTACCAAACATATTATTTCTATTTTCCAAATGTGCTCTATTTAAATAATTGTATAATAAAATTAAATAGAAAAAAAAGTAAAGAAACCACTTCCCTCGTTTTCCTCTTCAGTTCCCTCGTTTTTTACTCAACTACTCAATTCCCCTCTTCTTTCATTTTCTTAGTTAGAAACTTCCATTTTTAGAGCTATATATTCACTGTATTATTCCTCTTGGAGAGATGAAATCTTGGTGAGCATTAGGTCAGTCCTTTTTTTTCTATTTGTATTTTAATTTTTTGAAGTTTGTTCATTTTACTTTCATCAATATGACTGCTTGTAGAGTATATTGTGGTTTTTATTTTATTTTATATTGGAGTTAAAAAAAACAGATCTTTTTGGGCTATAGATTGGGTTTGTTGGGTAGTTTGTGGAAAACTTTTTATCTCATCATTTGTCCGATGTTTGGTTTGTATTAATCGAACATTCTTTTTGGGGTGCCTTAAAAAGTGTGTTATGTTTGTTTTGTTTAATCGGTAATTCGAAAAGATGTATCCCTGTTTATAGTCAAGTAAAATCTGTCAATTTTGAAAAATTAAACTGTCTTAGGACGATAATTATTGTTCCCGCAAACAGGACTATATTGTTTAGCTTGGATTTCGATAGCTCAATGCTCAGTTAACTCCTAGATTGTGAGCTTTTACTTTCTGGTTGGTGAGTCGGTGAAAAATAAAAATCTGACGTTGAGAACCTTGTTGTGTCCTCCTCGCCCTTGAAAAATAGAAATGATGAGTCAGTTGTAGTTGGACATATGACCATCTCTTAAAGCTTGTATGTGTGCTTTCTTGCCTTTAGTTTAGTTAATCCTCTGTTATTCAAAAGTTGTTGGCAGAATTATTGGTCATGTTTCATAAATTGTGTTGTGTCCTAAAACAAGGGATGCTAGGGTAGTGGGGAGCAGAAGAAAGAGCACCTCCTGTTTTTTTTATGAATGTGAGGACAACTTGTTCTGAAGTTGAATGGAGACACAGTGATTTTCATCTCTGTTGTTACAAGGCAATGGCATTAGAACTAAAACATATGGCTGGTTCTGTCCAAGTCATCCATGATGAGATGTTTCAAAGGTTGAGTTAGTCTTATCTTTTGGAGACCAATGATACTCTGGATCACAAATTTAATGTAAAAATGCCTAAAAGATGCACTACTTGCACCAATGAAATCTAAATATTCGTGAAATACAAGTCAATTCCAACTTCGTTTGGCTTTATTTGTTTTATCACATACTACTTTAATTTGATCAATGAATGCTTCATCTCAGTCCTCTTCATATTTGATTCACCTTTCTCTCTTTTCTTATGAATATGCAGCCATGCCAAAGATTAAACGTTTTCGGAATCCACTAAAATCAGCTCGTCAACCAAATGAAGCTCATGGACATTCCTCATCATCAACAACTCCAGTCCAATCATGTGCTATAGAGCCCTCAACAACAGTACAAGCCCTCCCACATGCTCATGAAGTCCCTCAACAAGAAGAAGCTCCAACTCTGCCTTCTAATTCGAATGCAACATCTGTGCGCCGTGCAGGACGTGAATCTACAAAATATTGGACAGTAGAGGCAAAAGGTATGTTCCTTACATGTATTTTTACTTCAATTTATGAGAATCTTATTTTTTTTGCTTTTTGGTTGAGTAACTTGTTTTCTTTTTAGAGACTCAGAAAATGCTACCAAGCAGATTAGGGTAAAGCTCAATGAGGTTAACAACCTAACTGTTGGGGAACGCATCATTGTGGAGTTTGATGACTACAACGCAGCATTGGTGAAGCGCAGGGATTGCTTGCGGGATATTGTGGGTCGTTGGCAATTGATTGTAATTTGTTCCCGATTAGTTTTGAGAAGTGGTCAGGGCCATCAGGCATGCCTAAGAAGTACATGGAAGACTGCTATGAAACAATATTGAAGGTACATGTGTTATTACATACATATGTACTTATTTCACATGAAAAAACTAACTTCTATTTTTTATTTGAAGCTCGATTTGATTTTCGGGTGAGTGAGTCCATTGCATACAGATATTGCAATGCTAGTATTTCGAAGAAGTGGGCTACACATAGGCAGAAGTTGTGGTATGAATATTTTGACCCAGCCAAAAGCAAAAATGAAATTCTAAGTAATGTGCCAGCAGGCATAAATAATGATCAATGGGCTAGTTTTGTTGCTTACCGTCAACAATCATCAACAATGGTAAGATTCAGATTATTTTAACAAGTTTCATCATAATTAAATGAAGATGAATTTTTTTAATTTGTATTTGTTTTGTTGATAGGAGCTTTGTAGAAGAAACAAAGAAATTCAAAAGAAGCAAAAAATGCCACATACTTGTGGATCAAAAGCTAGCTCGAGGAGACGACATGAGCTGGTATGCACATTAACTTAATAATTTTACTATTTCTCTAATTCAACTGTTTTGTAATAACTTTTTTAATGCATTCTTTCTTAGTTTTTGGAAACTGGAAAAACTCCTAGTCGCAGAAAAATATTTATTGAAACTCATAAGAGAAGGAACGGATCGTTTATAAATGATGCGGCAAGGACTATAGGGGTAAGTATAGCTTTGTTTCATTTTTATAACATTATTTTTATTATTTTTGTATAGCATTTTGCATCTCAAGTTTTACTATCTTGTACTTACTAATTGATATTTTATCTGCTTGTAGGAAGAAATTGAATTGAATATGACTCAATGTGATACTAATGAGTGTGAAGTTTTCCCAAATGATGTTGTTGGCAAGATGTTAGGGGCAGAGCACTCCGGGAGAGTACGATGTATGGGTATGGGAGCTGCTCCTTCAAACACATTCAGGAATACCAAAGGACGACTTAGTGATCCGAGTGCTTCTTCATCTAGCTACAGTGCATCATCTGTCACATATAACCATTTGCAACAAAGGCTTATGCGTGTGGAATCCCAACTAGAAGGCACCTTAAATGCGCTGAAGGATTACGTGATGTCAAAGGAAGGTTCAGTTCCTGAAGAATTTGCTGGTTTGTTTGCTCTTCAACCACAGGTAACGAGTAAATATAGTTTGTACTTCTTCTAATACAACACCTTTTGATCAGTTAAATATATAACAATGTACTTCTATGTGATAACAAAATGAATTGCGTTACTTCAAACCTGGTTTATTGGCCATAAGCTGGTGCCAACTAGCCTTTATCCGCTGTAGACGTGAATCCTAATGTTTAATTATACCAGAGCAAGCACATGATTTGTATGTCTATAGATGCTCAACATGTGAGCAGTTCTTGACGCATGTCTATTGACTAGGATTTCATATGGATTCTTGTCTTTAGAGTGTTGTTCAGCAGATGCCTAGAATAGGTCTCTCTGCATTAACTTCATAAAAATGTCTATTTGCATTATCAACAAAAATTATTAAACATAGTTCATTAGATCAAGCTCATTTGTGGAATGGATTCACTATGTCTAAATATTGCTTTTGCAACAAACATACTGCTGATTCTTTAGTGTTTTTAGATGTCCCAGTCAATGAGTCCGGACAAAAAGCATCTACTTATTAAAGAAAAATGAAAAACTTTGGATATAAGGCATGCTTCTCAACTGAATCAGGAACACGCTTATATTTCTGTTGTTATTTGTGATAAAGCAATGAAAATTAGTTCATACTGGAATATGTGATTTGCCTGGTGCAAGATGCCTTTGTGCTTTGTCGCCTGTTTGAAAAGAATGATTTGAAGAGGATGAGCATGTTGAGAGTTTCAATTTAGATGATGCTGAACTGAGTGCTACAGTTGCCAAATGACCTACTGAAGATGATCTATCTAAGGCAGCCACTCCATTAGCAGTCATACAACCTTTATTTGGTTTTGTACCTGTTAGTTAGTACAATATACAGTTCAATATCATCTAATTCTAGTAAAACTTGTTGCTAACTTTGCTAAAAATGGAGGTGGTGGCAAGGAGTTTCCATCTCCTTGCAGAAGCTAAGGCTTTGATTCGGAACTTTAGGATAAGGGATACCTTTGATTCAATCTTGTTTTCCGATCTTGTTTGGGATTAATCTAAATAAGCTTCTCACTGAATATCATTTTTATTGTTTTAGCCTGATGACGCAGAGAATGAACGTACTTCACCGGTGGATGTAAGAGGATCATCGGTGGATGACAACGCAAATCACCAATCAAATGCTTAATGTTTTCGTTGTGGGCTACTTTTGCTTTCTAGGAATTTAAATTTGTAATGGTTGTCTAGTGTTTATATTGCTTTAGTTAATGCTTAATGTTTTCGTTGTGGACTGCTTTTGCTTTCTAGGAATTTAAATTTGTAATGGTTGTCTAGCCTTGTGTTTATTGCTTAATGTTTGTTGTGGCTATCTAGACTTGTGTTTATATTGCTTTAGTTGAATGTATAGTACTTAAATCTGTCTTTTGCTTTTATGGAAAGTTTAAGAAAATTTAAGAAAATTAAAAAACTTACAAAAATAAAATATTTAGTATTTTTTTAATAAATATAAACAATGCAATAGTGTTAAAGTTACTATAAGACATAAATTAACTTTAACGTCTTATTTTTCAAACGATTAGATCACAGCAACAACAACAACGACCTAGTAAAATCCCACAAATGGGGTCTGAAAATAAAAAGATTACAATATTTAAAAATATTATCAAATTGCACGGTTTACTTCTCTAAAAGTCAATAATCAGTAAACTCCATCAATAAAGTAGTTTGAAATATTACACCTCATGAGTAAATATAAAATTGCTTTCAAATAGCAAAATAATAAAAGTTTAATAATTTTAAGAGACATATAATTAAAATATGAATACCTATAGTAAGTGAAGATGTAAATTTTGGCAATTCCAATAATACTCAACTTTTAATGTTCCTAATTAGTAATACTCAACTATGACTCGTTATTTAAGTTATTCTCAATCTTCACATTCTATAGATGAATAAAACTTTAATCATTAATTTGTTAGAGAAACTTGAGTGTCAACAATGCTAATTAGGGAATTTGATGCATGATTTGCGCTAGGAACTATTAAACGAGTCTCAAGCGAAGAGCGTTAGGCATATTTCGGGTGCACAACCCCCGAACACTGAGGTGTAAGCCTCATAGAATTGAGCCTCGCGTGGCACTGGATAGTGTCCTGCCCCGGATAAGCCATGAGGCGAGTCCCGAGAAAGCATTTTAAAACGCCATTCCACGTATTTTGATGATTTTTTCATATGCTACAAAGAATAAGTAAGAACTAGCTATTACTAAAGTCGTTAATATCAATTCGCACTTCTTCGATATTCAAGGATATTTAGGTTCTTAGACTCTATGCTTTTTTGCTTTGTAAATATATACAATAATTAAATCACCTTTTAAATATTACTATCATTAACGCTAACATTTCAAAATTTTGTGATATTACTTAATATCCCAACAAAAATACAAAAGATGATATGCATATTTCTGAAAGAGGAAAAAATACACTTTTTTGGAACTTTGATATATGAGGGAAAAACTCGGGGGAAATTTTAATACTAGCAACAGAAAAAGGTGTTATAGGAAAATAAGTTTGGTCAAAGGCCATAAACTTGAATATGGATATTATACATAGTTTGGTTGAGAGATAGTTGACAAGATCAAAACTAAAATTAAAGTACTTTTGTGAACGATGATAATAGTTGAGACCAAAACTTAATTAATAATTTTTTGAACATAAAATACATTTTTGATGTTAAAAAAAAAGATACAATAATGGGTATTTCGCAGTTTTATACTGCGAATTGGCTTAACGGATTTTTTGCCGTTAAGGCATTTCGCAGTTTTAAAAAAAAAAAAATTTTTATGACATTTCGTAGTACAGTACTGCGAATTACAATTCGTTGTACTGAACTACGAATTGCCCTAATAAAAACAGGTCGTCTTCTTCCCACAGACAACGATCTCCATTAAAAAATCAAACTCAAAGTTTTCTGGTCCCCCACCCCGCCTACAATTAAAAAAAAAAAATTTCGGCCCCATCCGTCCCATAAAGAGCAAGAAGTGTAGGTCCCACACACAAAAGAAGTTTTGGATTGCGTGTTTCGGGTGCAAAAATTCGATTTCAATAATATTTACATCGAGGTATTTCAATTTAGTTTATGCCGAAACTCATATAGTCATGCATTAGTATTGTTTAGTATGTTTCCATGTGAATTTCTGTTATGTTAGTGTTTAATTTTGTTTCTTTTATATACCCGGTTTGATTTATTTGATATCCGAATTTATGCTATGTTTGTGACCAAAAATGCTACTTGATTGTTTGTGTTAAATAATATTATTTATTTTGTTTATTTGTATTGTTGATGTTACGTTCATATTGTATAGCCTTATAGCGTAGTAAAATATAGTGTCTTTTAGCGAAGTAAAATATAGAGCCTTTTAGCGAAGTAAAATGTAGAGCCTTTTAGCGTAGTAAAATGTAGAGCCTTTTAGCGTAGAAATTGAGACTTATAATAATTAAGAATTATTCTGTGGTACCGGGCGTCAAAAATCAAGCCTGGAACCCATATATAACTATTATCTCCAATTTCAAAAATCATACTTAATTTAATTTATTAAGTTAATAAAAATCTAAAAATGGAGAAATTGAGACTTATAATAATTAAGAATTATTCGGTGGCACCGGGCGTCAAAAATCAAGCCCGGAACCCATACATAACTATTATCTCCAATTTCAAAAATCATACTTAATTTAATTTATTAAGTTAATAAAAATCTAAAAATGTTGAAATTGAGGCTTATAATAATTAACAATTATTCGGTGGCACCGGGCGTCAAAAATCAAGCCTGGAACCCATACATAACTATTATCTCCAATTTCAAAAAACATACTTAATTTAATTTATTAAGTTAATAAAAATCTAAAAATATTGAGATTGAGACTTATAATAATTAAGAATTATTCGGTGGCACCGGGCGTCAAAAATCAAGCCTGGAACCCATACATAACTATTATCTCCAATTTCAAAAATCATACTTAATTTAATTTATTAAGTTAATAAAAATCTAAAAATGTTGAAATTGAGACTTATAATAATTAAGAATTATTCGGTGGCACCGGGCGTCAAAAATCAAGCCTGGAACCCATACATAACTATTATCTCCAATTTCAAAAATCATACTTAATTTAATTTATTAAGTTAATAAAAATCTAAAAATGTTCAAATTGAGACTTATAATAATTAAGAATTATTCGGTGGTACCGGGCGTCAAAAATCAAGCCTGGAACCCATACTTAATTTAATTTATTACACTAACACAAACAATTAATTTTGTTTAAATTATAGTAGACGACATGGCGTTTCCTCCGTCTGCGCATCCTGGACCTGCCGAGGATCAGCTACTAGTGCTGCAGGGCGACCATAGGTGATCCTATGTTTGGGAGGGACAGCTAGCGATGCAGCCTCTCCGCCCCAGGAGGCCTGATGATTTATGGGAGTTTATTGCGGAGCATCATTTCCATCCGCGCGTAGTAGTGATCCTCCAGACTTCGGGATTATATACCATTTTTCAGCTTGGACGGATGCAGCTTGATTGGTCGCTCATCACGTCCTTGGTAGAGCGGTGGCGACCGAAGACGCATACATTTCACTTGCCCACTGGAGAGGCTACTATCACGCTGCAGGATGTCCAGGTTTTATATGGACTGCGCGTAGAGGGGCGCGCCTTCGCACTGCCCCACCACTGGAGAGGGATGACACGTGCACAGTTGGTGGACATGATGGGGCAGTTGACTGGTTCGAGACCGCAGGGTGACCGGGGTGGCAGTCGCGTGGCTTTATCATTCATTAGAGATCAGATGGCGGTATTGCACCCAGATATTACTCACGAGACAGAGCATCTTTGGATTCAGCGGTACACTCGGTTGGCGTTGCTCCTGCTTTTTGGGTGTGTCTTGTTTCCGGACACCTCGGGGAACAAAG